TTTTTGCCTCTGTTAATTAACAGGTTTGAGCAGGATCAGCCCAGGGAGCAGAGCAGGATCATTCAGTGACCAGAACTTGCAGGGAGGAAGCAGGAGCATGCAGCAGCTGGGGGAAGGGGAGGGAAAGGCTGCCATTTGGTTGCATCGGTGTCTTAGATTTGCTTTTTCCTGCTTGTGGAACTACACCTTTAAAGAACTTCACCTCTCTAAATCCAAATGAATGCAGCTGCCTTTTTTTTTGTTTTTTTAAAGTGGTTGCTGAGTGTTTCCTGCCCCTCTTCCTTCCTCCTCACCACCCCAAACCATACAATCAAAACTCTCCCTGCATCTTGCTTTCTATACTGCAAAAAAGCTTTGAGCTTAAACATAAAAAAGTTTTGTTTTCAGGAGGTGTGATGCTCTAGTTTGGGGGGCAGATCCATATTTCAGAAAGTAATGAACAATCTTATAACTTCTGATTTGAATAAATGACTGGAAATTAGGATGCCTCATGCAGGCTTCAAGTACTTCTTTGGTGTTTTCGTACTTCTTATTCATACTAGGCTAAAGTAGCACTAGCATTGCTGTATATTTTGGTATAATTTCTAGTGCTTTTGCCTTTACCTTAAATCCGATGATAGAAAACCATATAAAAGTAAGATAGTTTTTTCTCTTGACAGGAGACCATTTCTGTAATTTTTAAATCCATTAACTTCCTTCCTCCCCTCCCGTTTGTAATATGCCTACTAGTGGCCACAGTTCAACTGATCTGCAACAGTTTCATTGCTTGTACTGGTGTTTTTAATTCCCTCTGTAGGAAGTCTTCGGTCTTGCAGTTCATCAGACTGCTTTAGTAAAGTGATGCCTCCAAGGAAAAAGAGGAGACCTGCAGCAGGAGATGATTTATCTGCTAAGAAAAGTAGACATGATGGGTATGTCATCTTACCATGAGCTAAGATTGATGGAATATCTAAAGATGCTTAGCTGATATGATTGTATGTTTAATTACTACTGGAAATGATATTCAGATTTGATTGGATTCTCAGTGTGGAACTGTGGCCTGTGATTGAACTGCTGGATTTGAATAAGCACATCTAGGTTTAATTCCTGTTTTATCTTTTCCTAGTTGTGCAAAAATCTTGTAGGGAACTTGGCTTTGCTTTGGGTTGACGACTGTAAAAATAGACATGTTCAAAATGAGCTTTCAGTTAGTAAGACTGTTATCTTCTTATACCTGTGTGTGTATATAGGATGATAGTGTATGTGTGTGTATATATATACATAATATAGACTAGAATATACCAAGTCTAGACTTGGCATATTCAATTTACAGCCTGTTAGAAATGGACATTTTGATTTATAGCTCCCTCTGAACCGCTGCCTTACCTTAAGTCATAATCTCTCCTTATCTTTTTCTGGTTTTATATGAATTGTGTAATGATGGATGAGGATTGTTTAGGGAAGGTGACAGCCACTGATGGAATGGTGGCTGAGGTGGCATTCCTCCCTTCCCTCTTTCCTCTGGCCAGCACAAATGCAAGTGCTCCGTAACCGTGTGTATGAGCAGCGTATCCTTTTGGAGTAGTTTGTTGCACAGCTGACGCTTCGGGAAATGTTGGAGTCTTCCCCGTATGCTCAGTTGGCCTCAGTTTTTCAGAATACTCCTTGTATGCAGGACTTAGGCACTAAATTCAGAGTTCTTGGGAGGAACAGGATGGTACTCCTACATGGTAGGTGCTATCACATGTTAGTCGAAGGGCTAAAGTATGATAATACCTTTTCATTGAAAGGCAGTGACGTATACAGCAAGAAAGCTTTTCTGCCACTGTATCACCTGGTAGAATTTGAGCTCTCTTGCATTCATGTAATGCAGGTAGCTTAGAAAACCCCTACTCCCATAACAAGGATCTTCTAAAAAGACATAAAGATTCCACATGCACACCCCCCCGCCCCCAACGATCAGCCTGAAAAATGATTGTAATATCAGACTTAGGCTGGATAATTCTGTTTCTAATTCACCAGCATGAGTGAGAAAAATGCTGGTAACCAAATTAAGCCTCTGGCTATGCCTCTGTAACTCCATTGTTTTAAATAGGGTTGCACAACTGTAGCTGCAGTGGAATTTATTAAAGGATCTGTTGATGCAGAAGAAGAAAGATTTCAACTCTCCCTTTCATTGCTTTGCATAAGCAGTGTTAACAAGATCAAAAAAAGCAGTACATCTTAATACTTTTTGCTGCTTTTCAGAAGTACTAAAATGTTAGAGCTAACAAGTTGATAGCTTATTAACTACATCTTATTCAAGATAGATATACAGTTGTGTAAGTGAAACCAGGAAAAAATGTTTATATCACTGAAGTAGAGATGTTAGCATAGTTTAACTCTCCTTTTGCTGAAATGCTGTCAGTAGAACAGAGTAAACAAGATGAGAGTGTAAGGCTATTTGTGAGCAAGAAATACAGATTTATTTAATCCAGGTATTAAATAAATGATAAGAAGCTATTTTTTTTTTTTTACTCTAAGCAGTGTCATAAGTACCTACATATATTTTCAACTTTTTGAAAGCATAATTTAAAGGACTTTTATTATATCTGTATTTCAGCTTACTACTAATAGATCCTAATTCTGCTGTTAGGGACTGCCTAAGGCTCCCTTAAGAGACCCCTTGGCCCGCTTTTAGAAGCAGAGGCAAAACCAGACCTTCTCTGGTAAAACCATCCTTCTCTGTGATGTGCTTCCAGTTTTTGTCAGTCAGTCATCTTGACTTCCAAGACAGTTTGGGTCAATTCTTGTTTCAGCGTGACTAGCAATAGAAATTAATTTGCTGAACTTTCAGCTCAGTTTTAGAGCTGTGTTTTCCTTCCAGGAAGGATTTCTTAATCTGGTTACGCCTCTGTAACGTTCTGTGAGCAAGCTGGGCAAAGGGCAAGCCCTCTCCTACTTCATGCTCGTCTCCTGGACAGAGCTCAAGCCTATTGTGTTTGGTTTGGGAAGGCCAGGCAAAAATGAATGTGATTACATAAATGGCTAGAGCAGTGTGCACTAGTGGAATTATTTCTGATGGCATTTTCTTTTTATGTTATGGACAGAGAATGATAGAAACACTGTGGGGTGTGCCAGCATATGGGAGAAGGGGCCTGTGCTCCCATTTTTTACCACTGCTGATATTTTAGAGATAGACTTCCTGGAAGCTGCATGCTGTAAAATTGTGATAGATCTTCAAGGCACGTTAGCCTGTGTGGATCCTGTGTTGTTAAGTGAAAAAGTCGCCTTCTGTATATTGCTCTTCTGTGACAGGTAGAAGTACAAGGAAACAAAGGGAAGATAAAGCAAATTTCATATAAAGGTAGTGGCAGGATAAGAGTATAACTATGTACTGTGTAGTTATCTAATTCTGTGCATTAGTTATGCAATTTCTATCCAAATACAGGATTCTGCAGAATTTTTACTGAAGGAAGAATGAGCTGTGTAACATCTTTCTTTCTCTCTCTCTCTCTTTTTTTTTTTTTAATTCCTCCCAGATAGTTCCATTTAAAAAAAAAAACACTCTTCATCCCAGAATTGTGCTGAGCAGAGAAGTCTTATAGGAATGGGTATTTGGACCTTACAATGATGAAGAGTGAATGCTTCCCCAAAACCTTTGATTTCAAGAAATTAGATCTAGAGGTCTAACTCTAGACCTCTAGACCCTTGGATGTGTGTAAAGAACACATCAGAGCTTATTTATATGAAAAAAACAGATCAACTTTATTGGGCCCTGTGCTCTGCAAGAAAAATGCACGTTTTGAAAACATAGTAAACACAAATTATTAATACTGGCAAGTAGAATATGACTGTAATAATCTTGCAGATTTTCAGCAGCTTTAGTGATTTCTTAGTCTTATTTTAGCTAGGTTGCTTTTTCCCAGCCTTGCTCCAGATTCTTTCCTCCCTCTAGTTAGTGAAATGGCTATAAAAATCCATAACAAAAAAAGAAAAAACCAGAAGCTCCTCAAGGGAATGTTAGTTTTAATATAGGGAAACATTTAGTGAAGTCAGCTGTCACTGTTCTGACACTGACAACTTGACTGTCAGTGTCAAACTAGTAAAGGTGAATATTTTTTAAGTGCAAATTATTCTGAATCACTAACTCTGTGTGTGCCTCATGTAAGAGACAAATACATACCTTCTGCCTAGGCAGTTTGTTTTCTTGCTGTTTCATTGTACTTGACGAGCAGCATGCCAGGGTTGAGGAACGGATAGGGTAATTCTAAGTGCAGAGGCAGACACTCTGTTTACTGTTGTCCAGCAGGCATATGCACAGCATATGCTCCAGGAAAATATTCTACCTGCATCCTTTTTACCTCTGAGGATAAAGTTCTGCATGTATCCTTTTATCTCTGAGGGTGGAGAAAGCAAACCCTAGCATTCCTGTTCAACCTTCAGTATCCTCTGAAGCAGCTCAGATTGTGGTACCAGAAGTACCAGATGTACTCAGTGGCCCTTTCTTTATGGAAAGTTACTTTTCAGACTCTGAGCAATAGAGTCTTTCATTTGGGGCATGTGATTGAAACTTTGCAGGTTTCTGTCATGGACCATCAAACAAAGTTTTAGCAGTTTTGCATCTACCTGCGTTGCAAGAGCCAGTGCCCTCAACACAAAGGCAGGGCACCATTAGCACTGTGCACAAAGGATACAAGGTACTAAGATGCAAGGCTGATGCCTGATGACTCTTCTGGCCGTTTGTGCTCTCCCCTCTGCATGTAACACTTTTTGGGAGAGTTAAATCAGTTAAATCTGGATCTCTGATATTTCAGAGAACACGGTCTTTGGAGTTCCCTCTACCCTGCACTGCTGGGTTGGTCTTCTTGTGGTACTGGATGGGATTGCAGTGAGTTGTTATCTCAGGTATTTATTGAATTCCTTGCAGCTCCCTGCTCATCTTGCCTCAAAAGTGCTTCAGGGATTAGAAGTCTCTCGCCAGTAGAACCAGCTACTAGTTAGATTAGGTTGCTGGAGGGACAACTTGGTATTTGGATTAAACAGGAGAACAAGCTTCTCTATCCATGAGAGCCTACAAAATGGGGATTGTATTGGTGTTACTTGCCTCTGTCATGTTCCTTCTTAAATGATTTTTATTTTGTAGAGTAGGTGGTCTCATATTGGCTCCTGGAGGCTGAAAAGAGTAGAGTTTGAGATTCACCCAGCCATTATTGTTGCATGATTTTATGCTTCTGACCCTGTGTATTTATCTTGTCTGATATGATGTCACTTGCTTTTTTTCATTGGTGTCCGGTTAATCAGCTTGCAGCAGATACCAGGGCAGTCTGAACTATATACTTCCCAATTTTATTTTCTGCGTTTGGGAAGTAATCTTCTTACCATCATCGACTGAAGATCTTTAGTCACATTAGTTTCTCAGAAATCAAGCTCCAGTGGTCAGAACTTTTTGAACAATAAGTTCGAGGCCAGAGCGTTTTGCTCAAAATAAGGCCATATGTGGGCCCCCTTGATATCGTTTGTGAATGTTATTGTTACCTACAGTTCTTAAACATTGCCTTCAGACTAAGCACAGCAGAGTTGCAGGCCTGTGTGAACTGTGTGAAAACTCACTTTCTTAGATGCAGTGGGTATACAAAAGGGATGCCTTATTTTTATTCTCATTTTCCTTCCACTTACACTGACTGCTATTGCTGTTGCCTTGAAATAACTGGATAGCTTACAGCTCTGCCACTGGTTCTGTTTATTAAGAGTTTCTTAAATCCCTGACAGTTAATGTGCTGTTGAGTTATATGAGTGACAGGGGAGCATGGTTGTCTTCTCTTCAGAAGAAACAACATTGTCTTGGGCTGAATGTCCATCCTTGGGAAACACTTCCTCGGCATGTCCCAGGTCCCAGGAGTGCTCTTGTAGACTTGGACCAAAAGTGTTCAATAGTTCCAGCTACAACCAGTTTTTTACTACGTATTCCAGTTGATGTTTTGTCATGTTTGTTTGCTATAAAATGGCGATACAGAATAATTATTTTTTGCCAAAGTTGTAACATGATTGGTATGCCTCCTACCTTTGGCAGACAGAAACTTTTTTGTTCTTCTGAATTCAGAATATTTAAAGCCATGTTGTTTAGGTTTCTCCTAATCATAGTTGGTTCTGCAAGTGTAAGGATTAATTAAAGTTATCAGAGAGATGGAAAAATAAGTCTTCAGAATGAAAAGATTTTTAGGGTTAGTATCCATGATCCATGTGCCACTAATGTCCCAATATGGGCTCCTCATGACTCATAAGTGAGCTAGGTGGAAGAAGAGAGATCCATGCACTCCGAGCTCTTTTGAATAAGCTTCTTGCATATGTCTTTCTAGAAGGACAAATTGGTGATGAAATCAAGCCCAAATTAATTTCATCAACGCATTTCAGATTTCTCCTTCAACCAATTAGTCACTTCTTTGGCCTCTCACGGCAGGATTTGACCCCGTAAGAGGAGGGACTGGAACGTTCCCAGAGCCGTTCTTGGCGGCCTCCCCTGGGTTGAGCTGTTTGTTACTCGGCTCTTCTCAGCCGCAGGAGTCTGAGCGATGGCAGCGCGCGTGGACCCAGGTTGGCGCGTGTGTGCGCAGCGGGGAGCAACCGCTCGCGGCGGGAGTCTCTCTCCTCCAACAAGCTGCCACAAGTGGTATCATCTCTGTTCCAGAAAAGCCTAACAGCACGGAGCAACTCCTCAACTCCTGCTGTACCTTCCATGTTTCAGATGTTGAATTCAGAGGACGAGTGTCATTGCCTGAATGCAGCTGAAAATCCTGAAGCTGCTTGTACAAAAAGATCATTACTCTGCCAGTCATGTTCTGGTGATAGCGGGGTCACTACTGATCTAGGCTTTCAAATAACTCTTTACCCCATGTCGAATGGGGTTTGAGTTACTGTCAGTTGAGCGCTGTAACTTGTTCTCTATGGTATGGTTTGTTTGGGTTTTCTGTTTGTTTTTGAGTTTCTAACTTACTGGAATAAAAAGAATGTAGTTGTGGGGCATGGCTGTTTTGGCCTTTGTGTCTTTTATAGGCCTTCAAGGAGGCAAAAGGATTATGTGCAGCTGTCTTCAGCTAATAAGTAATCCACAGTGCGTGAAGCATGTGTGCACCTGCGGGTAGAAGCCATGTTCACTATGACACAGAATTATTGTGTGTTTAGACCCATGGCCAGGGTGCAGCCCATGCAACTGATTGTGGTAACTAGGTGTCTATGTGTGAAAATCTTACCTTCCACCAGTGCAAAGCATTCTGAGGCTGAACTGAATAGTTCTATTCTGTGTTTATTATCCAGGGAGCTCATGTATGTGAACAATTAGGAATCAGTTAGAGCTTGATGGCCTGTTGAGAAAATGTATTTAGATTCAGTGATGGGCTAAGCAGTTCCGCAAACAACTGGGTATGAGGACAAGATGTTGAGTAAGCTGGTTAATGAAAGAAAATGTGTAGCTGTTGAAAATGGGTATTGACTAAAAGATTGTTTTAAAATTTTGACGAATGAATTATTTCTCTCTCTCTCTCTTTTAAGTATGTATAGAAAATACGATTCGACTAGAATAAAAGCAGAGGAAGAAGTCTTTTCAAGTAAGAGATGCTTAGAATGGTTCTATGAATATGCAGGTAAGGGTGACATAAAATTTTCCTTCTGACAACAGCTTAATCTACACTGAAAGTAAAAATTGCATTAACTGAGCTTGTCGAGACTGATTATAGAGGCATTTTGGCAAAACAGGTTTAAAGAGGAAACTTTTCTTTTGGTCTTTGTAGCCTGAAGTTGAATATTTCAAGGTATAGTTTGTCTTGTTAAATAAAAAGGATAAGGTCTGTATTTTAAAATATTTTAAAAGGTGTATACTTTACTCAGATCTATAGTTAAGTCTCTATTTGTGTCCAAAATATTCTCTCTTTTGCTCAGAGGCCTTTTCACCTGCTTTGTTAACACTGAGCAGCACAAACTTACACTGTCAGAGATGATTCCTTTTAAGCAAAGGGTAGTGTGATTTGTTCCTGTTGGTTCTAATTTCAAGCACAACAGTGAATCAATTCATGTATGCCAGAATAGTGTCATCTTTTAATAGTTTTCCATCTTGCAATATAGGAAAGGTATACTGAGTTCTTTATTCCCTTTCTTATACATGAAAATTTTCTTCAGGCCTTAGTTCTAAAATTACCCTTTATGAAATGGAGTCACAACAGATGATCATTGAATACTGAAGTCAGTGGTTGTGGTTTCTTTTCATGATTTTACACATGCTTTTCTGAAGGGAAGAATTTGAAATAGGGGAGAAAAATCTTCTTATGACTCTAAAGAAGATTAAAATTAAATATATAGTTAATGAAGGAAATAAGGTCATCTAGCAGTTTTCTCATACTATCTTGCATAACATTTCTCTTCGTTCATTCCCTTTAGTCTACTTTCTACATGTAATGAAGAGTGACTTAATTTGTTATTATAAAATTTTCCTCTAATAGCATTACATAAATCAAACCATACTGAGTTCTCTTGTCTGTGGTGGTCTATTCAGTCAGATGAGACAAGTCTAACCTTTTGGATTCTGTGGACCAGTTTGATTTTTTTTCCTCCTTTTCTTTTTACTGTAGCATCAGGGATAACTCATTCCTGACAAGAGTTCAGTGGAAAGAAAGGATAAAAGGAGGGCAATATGAGAGAGAACTTTGGGGTTTCCATTGGCTACATATGCCTAGATAAGCCAGAGGAAAATGGAGAGTATGATTTTGTTCATGGTAGCGAATAATATTCTAAAAAATGGATTTTCGAAGGATAATTTTTATATGTGCTTGCTTCTTAAGTCTTCTCTTGTATTTATGCAGACGGTTGGTGCTGCATTTGTTTCTTTCCCCTGGGTCTTTGTATTACAGAGTAAGTCTTTCTAAAGGCTGTTGTGTATATTCAGAGAAGTGTTGGTGGGAGGAAGTGATGTGAAGATGGGGAAAAGATATAATTAAACCTCGTTATATCTAGAATTGTAGGCCACCTAATAATAAAACATAGATTGTTTTTCCTCTCATAAAACCTCTTTTTCTTCCACATTTGATCCTTATGTCAGTTGAAAGCAGGTATTTCAGTCTCCTGTGCTGCTTTTCCCAAAATGAGCGCTTCTTAATGTGCATAAAATACATTGAACAAAATAGCCTAAATAGTTATACTTCAAAAAGGTTATCTTGTGCAATATACTGTCTTAATGATATCTATATATTTTTAGTATTGCATAAGTTATTAATATCTTGATTTTAATAGTAGCTGTTTTAGCTTTTGAAACTTTTCTTTCTTCTAAGTAAAAAAAAAAAAAAACTATGTATAATTCATATCCTCCTTCCCCCTTCGCCTGCCAAAATAAAGAACACTTTCATTTTAGTCTTTTTCTTGTAAGTGATATTTTGTAAAGATAGTTTATAAATGAGGTAATGATAAAGGGTGTTTTGGGAACGTATCAAAGCCTGATAATAAGAAGGGAGGTAGTTATCACATGTCAAAACAAAAGAAGGTAAATTGTATGGAAATTTAGGTTTTACTGTGTGATTGCAGTTCTTTTGTGCTGTAATAGGCAAAAGGTAAGAGAATAAGACCATCTGTTCAAATTATTTTCTTTGCAGGCACTGATGACATTGTAGGGCCAGAAGGTATGGAGAAATTTTGTGAAGATATTGGAGTTGAGCCAGAAAATGTAAGTTCCAGCTTAATTCAAAATCTTTCTAGCCTATTATGATGATGAGGAGACAGTTTTATCTCTTTTCCATTAGGAATTAAAAATGTATAAATTTCAGATTTTGAAGAAGCAATTTAAAGGAGTGTAAAGCAGAGAGGTTTATAGGAATACTTGGAAACAAATTGCCACCATCTTAAGCTAAAAGCTGTTAACTTGTGAAATCTCAAACTTTTCTTTGCCACTTTCCTGCCTTCCAACTGTTTTCCCCCCCATCTCCTCAGGGGGAAAAAAAAAGTGGAAGTATTTTCTGAGGCCTTATTGGAAGTTTAATACAACAGCAACAAACATGTTTTATCTGTGTTTGCTAAAGGAGAAAGGGATTTCAAGTAGGAAGACAATTTTAACATTCCCATCATGCCATTTCAAAATCCTAATGGATCATGAATTGTTGTGCCTCTTATAGGCTATTTCTAATGTAAAATGTGTGCTCTTTAAATACACGTGCAAGTCTTGTCTCTCGTAGGATTTGTGGAGCATCATCTATCTAGATAAAATGGAAATTATATTTTTCAAAGATTTATTAGAAATGTAATATGGAATTTCTTAACTTTGAAGCTCATAAGCACAATAAAACTTTGCATTTGCAGACATTTTGGGAATATAAGAGGATATTCTGATTTTGCCATTAGAAGTGTTTATAGCTGCATTAGCATGAGCTAGGTAAAGGGCTGGTTTGCAGATTTATATGGCATGATTATTTTTTCCCTTTGCTCCTAGTCTACAGTGAAAGTTGTCCTGCAGCTTCTCCCATACGTCTATCAAAAGTGATATCTTGAGTTCATGAATGTAATGCTAACCTGTTTTTCAAATACTAACTTGCTTCAGCTTCATATGTTAGCTTTGAAAAAGATATCTAAATTTCTTTTGGGGATGAAGCATTTCTTTTTTGGATAGAAATATTTATGAATTGGCCTTTGTTTTGCAGTTTTAGGTAATTTTGACATTGTTGTTCATCCACATGGTATCTACCTGATTTATGCAGCATGTTCAAATTGTGAGATTATGCAGGTTGACAGTACCCAGGCATAGCTGAGTTCAGGTGGGATCGTCATCGACTTCAGAGCAATTAGATTTCACCAGTCTCATAGATTGCACTGTTGTTGATTCGGGAAGGAATTTGATAAATTTCAGAAGCAACTTGCTTTTTGTGATTGGTTCAGGAAAGCTTTTGTTTGGCTTTTGCTTTTATGTTAAGTTCACCAACCCACCCTCCCCATGGCTGTGCTGCTCAGTGCATGCACAAGGACTTTCTGCGCATCTTCCTTTGGAGAAGAGGCGGCTGCTGCCAGCGTGGGTGTGTGTTGGCTCTGTATCTTTGCACTGTTGCTTTCTTTGCATCAGATGAGGTGTGAAGATTGCAGCAGTTAGGCTCGTGCTGCTGTTTTATACTGTATTGCCTCAAATAGGTGTTAAAGTTTCTGAAGCATTCCAGTGTTTCAAATATAAGCTTTGGTGTCCTGAACTGTTACTGTCCTTGATTTTACTTTGAGGGACTATGTTATTAATCTGAACGTGCAGCTATGTAAAGACACCTGTAGGTTGCTTAAAAGCTGAGTTAAAGGTTAGTGTCTTTTCATTAATTTAAAAGTATTGATACTTCAACAGAGTCCATGATGATATAAATATTATAAGGAAATAGCTTTTTTTTTTTTTTCTCTAAAAGGGTCTTAACTGTTGCTCTGGATATGACTGCACCTGTGTATGAGAGACTGGAGAGACGGCTGTGTGGAAGGCAGGGGGGAGTGGTGGGAGAGGAGATGGGCATGAATATTTTATGCATAGACAGGTAATATAGTCATATTTAGGTGATTTAACTTCTCAGTAGGAATAATCTGAACATCCTGATGTATTATTCAATTAAGGTATTTTTGACTACTAAATAGTAACTATTTGAAAAATGTGTGCGTTTTGTTTGCTTTTATTTAATTGATTAATTCTATTCAGTCTTGATTTTTCCCCCCCACCTTTTAAACAGGTAGTTATGCTTGTATTAGCATGGAAGCTGGATGCACAAAACATGGGTTACTTTACATTACAGGAATGGTTGAAAGGAATGACATCACTACAGTAAGTGCTCTGGAAAAAACCTCCAACTCTGCTGTAGTTTTTTTTGTTTTTTTTTAAGAGTATTTTTAAACATAAAACTTGAGGCATAGCACTCTGCTTTAGAGTAGTAGCTCTACTCTACACAGTAGCTCTGTGTTTTTTGCTCCTGTTTATGGGATGTGGCTCACTTGCAGGTAACTTTATCCTTAAAGCTACTTGTTAAATACAGTTGGCTTAAAATGTTTGCAGTCTTGAAAAAACAAATGTCAAGAGGTTTGATACTGCTAATTCTCAAGGAATGAGATATTTATCTTTGTTCCTGAATTGGACTTATGTATTTAACTTCCTAAGATTTGGGGTCATTGCAGAAATACTAAATATTGGTATGTTATTAGCGAATGTGCAGTTTAAAGTGCTATATAATACACTGTTTGTGTATTTCTGTTACCATGCATTTTATGTTCTTTTTAAGAATTGCTTTTTTTATTTGAGACTCATCATCATGAGATAATTAAAGTGTAGTTGTATAATTACAACTTGATAGAGAGCTGGGGAAGGACTGTATTTTAACTTGTCTTCCAAAGCAGATTCATTAAAACTGTACAGGAAACTTTATCAGTAAAACTAAAGAAGTGTAGTTGCACTTCTGTGCTCTGTTGGCTGCCTGCCTTGTGTAGATAAGCTCTTGGCTAATCTGCTGGGGAATGCGTTTTCTATGAATCCAAACAAATTTTTATCAGTCTTACAAGCATAAGCTTTGGCTAACTTATCTAAATTCTTTTCCCACCTTGGGTTAAATCAAGACATCTTACATAAACAAACTCTTAAATGTCTTACATTTTGTATGAACGCAAATTTGTGGGAACATGAATACGTTAGAGATTTTTTCTGAAAACATCAAGACACGAATATAAGAACATAGACTATAAAATCTCTGTTTTGTTTTTCTTGTAGATGTGATACAACAGAAAAACTGAGAAACTCTTTGGATTACTTGAGATCTTTATTAAATGAGCCTACCAATTTTAAACTTATTTATAGATACGCGTTTGACTTTGCACGGGTGAGTATGTGGAAGGCTAAAAATAAACTTTACTTTCATAAATAATAGAGGCCATATACTATTTCTCTTCCCAAGACAGCACTCAAGATTGCTTCTAACACATGGAGTTTTTCTTAAGTATATGCAAAACATCAGAAAAAATACAAAGGATGCTTGATGGTTAGTGCATTAGTGTTTCAGATTTTGTGCAGAAGACATATTTTACTGCCTCTTCGCTTCAAGCTCTTTTATGACTTTGAGAAAATTGTTTGGGCCCTATTCTGTTGCATACTGGAGCTTGACCATTTACTTCCATTGACTTTTTTTTTCCCCCCTGCTGCTTCTTTTACTGTTTGGATGTCATAAGTACAAAGATATTTAAGCCTGGAAGATAGTTCAGACAGTTCTGTAGGTAGTAAAAATGAATTAATTTAAATGTTAAAAGCTGGTTATTGTGTAAATACTGTTTCAGAAAACTATAGGAAGGTATATGGTATCCTGTTATCAATCTTCTTAGTATAAAATACGAATTGCTAAATTTCCACCTGGTACTAGAAACTGCAATATACATATATACAGTCTGCACTATATACATAAGGCTACTCCTTCCCAAAGGGAGCCATAAAAAACTTGAATTTCCTGAATTAAGCATGTATATTGACAAGAAATTTGGACATTCTCCTTCTCTACATGATGGATCACGGAGGATTTTTAAAAAGGATCACAATTTATTTGGCAAAACTGAAGATCCAATTTTGAAGCACCAAGAAAACTGACAGCAAAAAGGTAACATTTTAAGAAAAAATGACAAAAATTGATTGATCTACTAGCTATAATGACAGTTTAGTCTCGCATAAGAAATTGAAATTCGTGATACAAGTGCTTTCTGCTTGTCAGCATGCAGAGATTCTCAGGAGATCCCTTCTAAGCCAGGAAGCCTACAGTCTGGATATGGCAGCATGCATGCACCTACTGTGAGAGAAACAAACCTCTTGGTTCCTTAATTTTCTTTGCTCTAAAACAAAGTATTCAATTTTTTCTGGAAGTAAAATACTTGTGCAAGAAATAACAAAAATGCCAAAGAAGTTGAAGATGCTGATGAAATATTCCAAATTGATTTTTTTAAAACTATTATGAAATTTTGCCAGCAGAGTGACTGTCAAAGAAATGAAAAGACTTAAGGCGAGTGGGTGGAGTGTTTTCAAGAGACGATAAACAAATGGACACAACATACCTTGCTGTTGAGAAGGAAACTGAACATGGAGATGTGAATTTTTTGAAAGAGGAGGGAGGAGAAACAAACAAATAAAAAACTTCGGAATTGCAAGTCAAGGTTATATCAACCAGAGAAATTTTGAAATTCTATTAGAGTAATAGGACTATTGAATTTAGAGTACTATAGGATGAGGGTGAGTCTATAGGAGAATGGCATACTGTAAAAGAGGAAATGAATGCTAACAAACATTAATATAGCTCTTCAGATGTGGCAGAAGAGAATGTACATCGTGTTAAACAGAATAATGAAAGTGAATGCTGAACAGGAACAATTTTGGTTTTGGTTCAGAAGATTGTCTAATTTCCACACTACTGATAATCATTTTGGGAAAGCGCTCAATGGCAAAAACCACTGTCCTAAACTTCCTAAGTTTTAAGAGGTAATTTAAGTGTCTGCTATGATTTGGTATTTTAGAGTTAATTTGTCAGAAAAAAAGCAAGTATGATCTAGATTTGTTTTATGCAGCATGAATAATTTAAATCAGCATGGACTTCAGGATGTCATTTAAAAGACCCTATGTTGGTGTTGAACATTAAAAGCATTCCTTGATAGATTTTCTCAAAGAACTGTCTTTGCTGTAGAAAGCAACTTCTGTCTGTAGCAAGTCATTAGCCATGAGGAAAAGTGTAATATTTTACTAGGAAGTTGTGTTCTAATTAATAAATAACAATATCGAATACTTTTTTTTTTAATGTGTTTTGTGAATGAGTGAACTGTAGTCTGGCTATTGGGGGGAAATGAAAAACACTGAGATCATGGGTTTTCCTCCTTTTCTTCTTTTTGAACTGTTTTTCTCCTTCTACAGGAAAAGGACCAGCGCAGTCTAGATATCAATACTGCCAAGTGTATGTTGGGGCTTCTTTTAGGAAAAACATGGTCTCTCTTTCCAGTATTTCACCAGTTTTTAGAGGTATGAAATTTGAAAGGGAATAGTATTTTTTCTGTCTTCTCTGATATTTTATTGTAATGAAATATGCAGTAAACAACTAAGAATTGGTGCTTATATCAGAAATTATCCTGATTTAGATTATACTTAACTGCACTTGTACCTGCTGTCTTCCCTTCCTGTACACAAAATCTGTCTGCTGTTAATATTTAGTTAATACAGGAGAAATTGTAGAATCTGGCTTGGAATTGCCTACAGACTGTCATTTAATGTATACTTGCTCACTAGAATAAGCCCTAACTAGAAACAGGAAATACTCAACACTAATTTGACTACCTAGTGGTATGTTTAATTCCTGTTTGATTTTAAAGTTTAAAGTCATAATTCAACACAAACGTTAACTTTCTATAAGAATGTCTGCAAATCTGAGGGAGTGAAAATGCACTTTAGTAACTTATGTTTCTTGCCTTAAGCAGCAATCAAAATACAAAGTTATCAATAAGGACCAATGGTGTAACGTGCTTGAATTCAGCAGAACAATTAACCTTGACCTCAGTAATTATGATGAAGATGGAGCCTGTAAGTACCACTATATGTTGGTATTTTAAAATAATTTACTTCTGAGTTCAGTCATTCTGTATCCTGAAAAAATTTTGTAAAATACAGTTATTTAATCTTTCTGCAGGGCCGGTGTTGTTGGATGAGTTTGTGGAATGGTATAAAGGAAAACAGATGACATAGGAGTTGAACTATGCACAGCCACTCAAGAGTCACTGTTACCACAGTTATGTCAACCATTAGCCATAAACTGCTGTTTGTATGAAAGTGCATGCTGCTTCTCTTGCACTGCATCCCTCTTGCAGGGAACTTTTGGTGTTTGCTATTTAACAAGCCAGCTCTGCTTGCTGTGTAGCATTGTTCTCTTTGAAGGCTGCTTTGCATTCTGTATTTACACCACAAAATAGTGAACTTGCCAGCGTCTTCACTGTGATTATGTGTATATTGCTGTCTAAATTTTGTATATGTGTATAAAAAAAAGCTTCACCTAGGGATTATTTCTGCAGAAATGTATTGTAAAAATAATTTTGTGGCATATTTCTAATCACTTATGTTCATTGAAACTTTAGTTATTTTTTATTTTGGTCTCAAATGTAGCATTTCTGAAAATGAAATGACCAGATTGCTTGGACAGAGTTACGATGAAGAACTATTGTCAGTTTTAATGTTACTGTTTGAGATGCCAATTTCTGAGGTGAGAAGAAATGCTGTGACTTTCTTCAGGGGGATTCACCAAACATGATCTTTTGCTTAACAGGAATGAAACATCAGTGTCTTAAAAGGAAAATATATATATATATTATATATATATATACATGCATATATATATATATATAAACACTGTAATAGTTATACATGCCACAGATGATTTCTATTTGAAGAAGGAAGTACTGACTTTTTAATGTTAAAACTGCAGTAGTTTCATTACAGGTACAAGTGAACAAATTAAAGTACCTTTTAAAAATGGATTTTAGACTTTTGTAAATTCCCTTTGGCATGTTTCTTTTAAACTTTGGTGTACTAAGTGTTTGGACTCTGTTGTGATCTAATGGAATCGAAAGTTTTATCGAAAATCAGTGGTTGGGGGGAATAAAGTCTGCTCTTCTCCACTTATGACTAATATAAGTGGGGATCTTTCTTTGTAATGCTAGTCTTTCCCATGATCTACAACTTAGGTTCTTAGTAATTAAAAATACTATATCAAGTAGTCAAAACATTGCTTTCCCTTTCAGGCTGGGGACTGGAATTTCTCAGCAGAATGCCCATTGCAGGCAGCGGGCACATTAAACACCAGCATTAAGAGACATTGCATTTTAGTAGGGACCACTTCGTGTTTCATATGTTTGTTTGTTGAGGACAGTTCTAGTGGTTATCTGGGGAAAATGAGTGAATGGAAAGGTGTAAGTTCTGTATTTTTGTCATGTTGGATTTGCCTTACCCGTCCTTATTAAATAATGTTGCTGTTGATATTTTTAGGTTCTTGAAGTATCTGGTGCTATTAAACTTTGATCCCTGAGGATTTATAAAATGTTCCACATCATTTCATGGAACACTTAACAAAAAAGGACTAGTGAATATTTTGGACTAAAGAATACTACTGCTTTTCTGTAGAAATATTTTTAAAGGTATTGGCAGTTTTGGGTTTTGTTTAGAAAGGCAACTGGGGGGCAGGTGGCGGGGGGAAGCATTTTAGGTTGAATGTGAAGTTTTCAGCTGTATTGAAGGCCCTGTTCTGGGTCCCTGAAGGCAGGAGCCCTCACTGACTTGCCTACTTTCAGGATTATGCCTGCTTTATCACAAGCACAGTAGCTTGCTTCCCAGGACCAAGAGGATGCAATTCCATTGCTACTGCTGGTCAATTGTCAATTTATATTCACTTTTTCTCCTTTTTTCTCTCTCCTTTCTTCCTCTTCCAAATTTAGCTGCCAAAGAAAGTTGTGTGTGCTTGTGTATTTGCTTAAATATACAATATGTTTGCCTATATAAAATCTGAAGTTTTGTGCTGTTAAGAAAATACTGCCTTTCCCCATGAAAGAGTCATGTTTTAATCTCTATGACACTAAATAAGTAGCATTCTTTAATCATGGTAAAATATACATAATCATTGCTCTTTCATGTACTGAATCGCTTAACATTAATACTTGATGCCAATTTGCACAATATTTGAATTCAATGGAGTGTGGTATTTAATGTTTACAATTAGTGTTTACTAAAACACACACTTAATTCAGTTTTCAGATGTAGATGTGTATAATGGTAAGGAAAAAAAGATGGAGCTGCATTAAAATAATGAATTTAGAAGCAATATATAACATGTAACTAAGCTGAATTGTAGTTGGTAAAATAGTAAGTGAAATACTGCAACTGTTCTTGATGTTTAGTTAATAACTCTAGAAAGTGGCTTAGCACAAATTGGTATGAATACTGCTAAGATACAAGACTGGTTACATAAGAAGTTTTATACGTAACAAATAATTTGGCTTCCAGTAATGGAAGCAAGAGCCAAAGACACTTTTAATATATTACTGGTATTGGTGTAACTTTCATGTAACAGGGTCAGCAGAAATCTGTTGAGTTCAAACATGTGTTCTTTTCCCCATTTTTGTAAATGTTTAGCAGAATACAAAATCTAAAAACAAAGAAAAGAAATCCTATGGTGTAGATTAACATACCCTTCGATATTTCTTATGTGTAATGAATTGGGAGTGAGAACAAGGAATAATGTGTTTCAGCATGGATCAGATGGATACTGCAAATGTTCTCTTCTACCTGTAAGCAAGATGAATTTGGGCTCTTCAGCAGTTTTAACACATGCATCTTCAGTTACAGGTAATCGATGTATTTACTGAAATTTATAGTGATCAAAATGAATTAAAGCTGACCCTCACAGCTGAAGCTTTCATACATTATCTGTCCTTTTGTGCTCTGTCTGCTGACAAGCACAGGGATCTGACCTTAACATTTCCAACTCTTGTATTTTGGAGATAAATTATCTCTCCTTTTTCCATTGTGAGTACTTACTGAAGCTACTTAATTTACCTTGTATTTAAGGCAAGTTTGATATTTGCTCTTTTGTTTCTTTGCTATGTCATCAAATAGTTGCTCTATTTTTGCTTTTCTTTTTTTTAAAAAAGTTGATATACAGAATATTTGTACCTGAACAGGATACTGAAAGGTCATTGTGACAGAAGAAATATTAGTTTATGCTGTTTTTCATGTGTAAAATATCTGTCTGCAGAAACTTAATGACCTATGTGTAATTCATGCTTGATATTTAGGAAATTGTAAGGTGCAAAGGCAGTTAGTGAAAGAAAAATAATATCTAGACTCCTCATCGGTAGAAAAAATTGTTAGTGAAGCAGTTCCTGTCGTATGTGATCCCGTGTGGTTTCAGATTGAGGCCAATCTTTAAATTACATGTTAAGATTCATTGCGTGTGCAGGGTGGTTGGACTAGATCTCTAGAGGCTCTTTCCAACCTTAACGATTCTATGATTCTATCCTACAGTAGTGGATAATTTAAATTGATAAATGACAGACATTTAGAACTCTTTATTAATAGAATAGTAATAGGAAATATTAATTACTGAAACATTCCACAAATTAAGTTTGCATATATTTCCCCTTCCTGCAAAATAGCATAAAATATTTTAAAATGCTAATATAGTACTGTGTTACTATTTTCCTCCCACTCCTTCCTTCGTCCACCTCTCTCCAAGGAAGGCCGTTTGAGGAAGGTGGAATTTATTGGAATGCTTTATGTACTACTTGGATTTCCAGTAAGAATCTGTACTAAGGTTATCTTTAAACTACAGTGAATGTTTGGATCGCCTTTGTGTGGCCTTTTCTTAACATTTGTAGGGGACTTGAGGCTTCTCCCATTGTATCGCAAATACAGACATTTTATTTCAGGACAGATATGCTTGCATGATCCAAGTGAGCTTTAGCTCATTGCTGCTTACTTAGCATTCACCAGGTACATTTCTTGGAGGGCAAGAAACAGACTTGAGTTTTGTTAACGTTTTTCAAGATTTCTGTTGACCCCTGGTCACAAGTCTTAACAAATAGTTAAATACTTCTGGAATTTGTAGACAGCTTTAAAGGTTAGTTTGTGCCCTGGTTTTAATTATAACTACTAAGATACCTCTGTAGGCCTTACATTTTATCTCTTTGTATTGTTATAAAAGTGTATAGGATCCATCCACCAACTGAGTAGTTGGTTGTTGGTAACTGAGATGGTGGGTGTCTTGTGTGTGTGCGTAGGTGGCTTTTTTTTTTGGGGGGGGGGGGGCGTGTATTGTCACAAAACAGTTTCTACTGAGAGTGCTGTTGCAGGAACAGCAGTTGACCTTCACCTGTGAATGCTGTGTCTTCATTGTTTGCATGTTATATACGTAAGGTGTGCTAAACTCCTGTGACTCACAGCCTGACTAAAATACTGTTATGCCACCCAACATGATTCATCATGAGTTCCTTTTGGGGATTTTTGCTGGTGTTGCTGTAAAATGATATCCCACAAATAAACAGTACTTGTGATGTTTTCTGAAACTGACTTTATATCTTTCTGTGGTTCATTCCTTAAAAATTCCGTCATGTGAATACACCTCACAGGTCAGTGAGAATTCCGTATAAGGTGGCACTTTTTCTTGTCTAAAATGTCCATATAAAAAGCACCTGTATAATCCAGGTTTTTATATTCTTAAAATATGTTGTATTTTAATGTTTAGTCTGCCTTTGTCACTCTAGTAGCAGAGAACATCTTGTGCTGCAGAGTTTAGAAAATATACAATCTTTGGGTTCTTACATTGCTAATACTAAGGCAAATGATTTAAAACTTTGTTGGAAATGGCTATGTTTTAAATACTCTGTGTGTTTGTGTGTGTGAGAAACACTTATACAAGAGGTTTTTTTAAATGTAGAGTCAACTTCACCATGAATGTATCTTCAGATGGGATTTTACAGCAAGAATCTTCATAACATGTTCATCTCTTAAAGCAAACACAAGATTCTGTAAATGTAGAGTTGGAAGAGAAGACAGTAGTCTGGTGTTAAAGGGTAGGAGGCACTGATCTGAGCAGTTTGTGTGCTGCTTTGGTCTGCACAAAACTCCCAACTAAACATAATTACCTACGCCGCGGAAAAGAAAACGCTTGGCAGTTTTTTTTCTGTTTTGTTACATGCCTGCACCCGCTCTGCCTGTCTTCCTCTATGTATGGGCCCCGCTTTCAGTAATGCATTCAAAGCTTTAAATCCTAGTGACTTAAAAGTACTGCAGGTGCACCCTGCTCAGGCTTGCGTTGCGCTTTAGACAGGTTGTCCAACATCTGGTGCTCCCTGTTTGCTGGGAGGCTGCGGCCTGCTCGCTGTTGCTGCCGTACTTGGCTCCTTTTGGGTGGAAGGCGAGCGTTCGGTAACTTCAGATCATTCTGTTTTAAAACACCCCTTAGGTGCAGCAATCTCTTCTCCCTGTTTGTGGTATTGAAGCTCTGGGTAGCCTTTACACTATTGTTTTCTGTTTCCCAAAGCACAAAGGGATTTGCAAATTAGTCAAGATGGAAGCTGGCATAGGTCAATTACAATTGGCTAAATGTTGTCAGTTCTTTCAAAAAGGGGCACTGGAACCAGTGAGGCAGCTTTTCTGTGATTTTCGTGATCGCCTTTGAGATCAAGGAAAGTAGGTCTGAAGAATTATGGCATTTGCAATAACTTTTTATCTTTTCTTACTTTGTCACACTCTGCCCTTAAAACTCTTGCAGACTTCATCTTGTTTATCTATCTACACCAAACTGGGAATTTGGAAATTTATAACTTGTTTCAAGAGCAGAAGGTAGTCACGCATACCATGCAACTGTATAGGAGTAATTTTTGTAGGAAAAACAAGATAATAGTGATAAGAATTGAGCAGTGCTACATTTATTTGGGACACAGAGAAATAAGAGTGCATATCAGAGACCATTTTCAAGGACAATGAATATCTCGCCACCAACAAAAAAGAAAAATGTAGTATATAATAAACTTAGCATTAGTTATAATAATTTTACAATTATATGTAGTTCACTCATTCCGAGTGTCCCACAGATTTTTTTTTTTTTAAACAAGTGCTAGTCTGCATACAAATCCATGGCTTCTGGCTTATGTGTGTGCCAATGTGTGTGGCCTGAATTGTCCTTTGGCTTTATGGCACCTATGTGTTTCTAAGTTGGACGCCTAAACTAGATGAATCCGGACTTCAGAGCATAGCAGGCTGTTACATTTACCTCAGAAATATCAAAGTTTCATAACTTCTTTTTTGGAAGCTAAAGGAAAATTATTGTACTGGGTGGGAACAAAACCAAAACAAATAAGAACAAAACCATACAATATTTAGCATTTACTAGGAGCTTCATTTAGAAATCCAAACATTTTTGTACCTTTGACATCATCATTGTGGGAACGCTAGGGTTTTGCATTTTTATACCTCACTGAAGTTTGTTCTGCTTTGCAAAACATTAGCAAATCCATCAAAGGCTCTTTTCTTCTTAACAAAGAACTGACCGTGATTTAAATTGGTCTTATTTTTTTGATTGAGCTTTTCCCTAGAATTCTGGAGATTGACAACTGTTGTAGGATAGTTTTCCAGTGCTGTCAAAGTAGCGTCGTCCTCTGAATCACTGGAATCGGTCTTCCTGGAGGCTGTGTTTTCTCTAGTCTGTGGGAGTGACCATAAACTGTATTGTATATTTTCATTGAAAGACCTTTGTGAGAGTGGTGAGGAATATGCATTTTCCTCACTCTGATCCAGCTGGGAATATTTCTCTGTGCTGAAGCCTGACTGCGTTTTGACAGAATAGCTGGGATGATGCGGATCTGCCGTAACGTTGCAGGACTGCGTTTCATCAGGCAGGTTACAGCTGGTGCTATCCTGCGTTTCTGAGTACTCATCGTGTTCACTTTTGTTAAAGCCTTTTTCCATGTTCTGTGTATTAGGTGTTTTCACTTGCTTCTCCTGGGGTAAGGAGTCTTCTTTCTCAGTAGTAACCATAATGCATCCTTCACTTGTGCTTTGAGGCTGAGATGGAAGAGCTGATTCACTGATGGCTCTGTCGGAAGACAGTAGTACCATCTTTCTAATAACTTGATTGCAAACAAAATCATTGGGAGCAAATGTAAAATGATCCTTTTCAGATGTACTCATGTCTCCTCTTAATGCAATATCCTCTTCACTGTTATCCTCTTCAGAGGAACTCCTGTCTGTGCTGTCTGCACTGATCTCTGCCATGTTCTCCTCCTGCGCAGTGGGATTGAACCTGGGAAAGTGCTGAGCTTGAATGGAAAACTGAGGCAATGCCAGGTCGGCCCCTTTGGCCGGAGTATCCTCTGTGTGTGAGGCGTACGTGGGAGAAGGTTCTGATGAAGCTAACGTATCATTAGAACTTGTATTTTGTTTGTGTGTAGAATGAGGAATAGAGTTTTGAATCGTTGACTCTGGATGGGTAGAACTCTTAAACATATCAGGAACTTTTTGGTAAGAGAAAGTGATGGTGTTGGAATCAGACTCAGTTCCGTGATCACTATGTTTGTCAGTGTAAGGTGATTCTGTTTGAGACGTGGTGGTGTCTGATCCATAACTAGCAGTGGTTTCAGAATCGTCGTCGTCATCCGTGTTCTCGTCTTTTGCAACATGCTGATGTTCAGCAGCCAGCCTCGGAGACCTGGGCGTTGTTGGGGACCCGTCTGCTTCCTTATTTGCATCAGCTTTCTCTAGAGATGACTGACAGCCGGGGAGCTTGTTGCTTGGAGGTTGTGCCAGCTCAAAATCTGATGAAGAGCTACAGTCGCTCATGGTAAACGGAACGCCTTCATCTGAAGAACTGTCGCCAAATATGTCTGCCAGATCATCTTGTTCAGCAGTACCTCCTCGTTTGTAATACTCTGTGAGAGAATTGTCGCTTGCTAGGTAGGCACTTAAATTCTCATGATTTATATCTTTCTGGCTACTACTTGGTAAAATAAAATCTCGTGCGTCACTGATTTTACCCTTTTTATCATTTACACCAAGCTCTTTGTTGCAGTTTTGTGTTCTGGGTAGAACTGCTGAAGTGCTTAGGGGCTCGTTATCGTAGATCACTTCTTTCTGTTTGGGAAAATGTACTGTAGCCTCTGTAGTTTCAGACTGCAGTGGATGAGATTCGTTGGCTATCTTGCTGCCAGGTGTGGGAGGGAAGCTGCTCCTCTCCAAATCTTCACTGTTTGCATAGTTTGAATCTTCATGTAATGAAATGTCCTGGTTTGTTAGTTTTCTTGGTGTTATTTCCTTACTATTTCTGTAGTACATCCCTACAGAAGATGGTGCATTGGGATCAATGTTTATATAATGTTCATTGCTGATAGTATTTGCTTTGCTGTTTGAAAACAGTGATTTTTGCTCTGCTTTGATCTGGTTACTGCATTGCTTCTGGTACTCTTCCCCAGTATTGGGTGCATGTACATTATTATAAATGACACTTTCATGCAACCTAGAGGTTTCTGTAGGAAAAATGTGTGTGCTTTTCAAAGAATTTTCATCACAGATTAATAAATTACTCCGTGTATTTGTTGGAATGCTTGCAGTACACTCTCTGCCCAGAGCTTCGTTTGAAAAAGCTTCATTAGAATAAATGTGTTCTGAAGGTGAATTTTTGTTTCTGCGCATGAGTCTCCACAGCTTCCCAAGGTAGGGCCTGGCAAAGACACCCAGGCAAAACGCAAAAACAAATGTGATGAACACTGAGAGGCAGATGGCCAATACAAGGTCTTGCCTCGTTGTTCCTTGTCTAAACATGGTGTTAGTAGCCCGGGGTTTTCTAACCAACGAAGTTGAAAGCTTTTCTTTTACCTGTATGTTGTAGATGAGGTATTTATTTCTTGTTGTATTAAAAGTGCACATATAAAATCCTGCAACAGTTCTGTCAGCACTGTGTATTACTAAATTACTCATTTTATCCAGTGTCATGTGGGGAAGACTAGTATCTCTTGAAATTCTGCCAATAGGTGTCCACCAAGAGACCCCATTACCTGAAATAAAAGAAAACATGAATTAAATCTGCTTTAGAAGTAGAAAATAAGATTTAGGGGCAGTTTATTTCTATAAAGACATTCTATGAACATCGTTGATACATTGAACATTGCTTATTCTTGTAAAATGTTTTTTTAATCCATGCATAATAACCAGCTATTGAGCCACGTGTCTGATAATCATCTCGTCTTCTCCTCTGCACAGAAAATGGACGTGATGTGAAGCAGTGTTGTACTACTACAGCTGTTGTGGTGGGTTTTTTTTTTTGTTTTTTCTTTCTCTGTGACTTTCCTAGAAAAGATGTAAAGCAGGTGGCATGTTTGATCCACCCTAGGTACTCCCACCTGGGGGTAGAGCATTCCCTGTGGACAGGCCTCTCGCCTCTGAGCGCTGTTAGAGCCTTCACCGTTTGGGCTTACGGCTCGTGGCAGATGCACCTCCTTTAAGCACTGTCTTCGCTTCTGCCTGGCTTTGTGGAAACTGTCATTTGCACTTCAAGTTCTCCCTATGAATTACAAGTGCACAATTTGTTTGCTGAATGAACTGTGCTGCAGCCATCAGCAGCTCTACTTCTGTAGAAGAGAGATAATTCTTTTCCCTTGCACATGCAAATAATAATTTTTCATTCTATTTTGCTGTAACTTTTAGAAGCGCTATTGCATCCTTTCTCATTTTTCTACATGCCTCAATATAACTGCCCCATGGCTATTAATCACAGTAGTAAGAAAAAATGCCTGATTGTCTCCTGTATGCAAGCATTAATTGCTTTAAACAATTGCTTAAACTTCTTTATTTGTAATTATATACTAGCATCACTTACTAGAACAAAATATTAAGTCTTACCAGGAGACTAAATTTAAGATACTTTAGAGAAAACTGACTTTCCAATATTCTGATATAATACCTTCTAAACAAATAATCTGCCTTGTTAAGATTGTTTCTCAGTTCTTTTTGAACCAATTTCTTCTATCCTGCTGGGGGCATTTGAATTTTAGCAGTGTGTGAATAGAGTCCGTTTTACCTACCCCTCGTGTTATCCAAGTTGCAGTTTAGCACAGATGTCTTTCCTGTTGGGATTACAGTTGTTTTAAATGAAACACTGTCATTTTCAAGTTTTAATTTAAACTGCAAAGGCAGAAGAGGTTTCTGTAAGATGTTGGTGGCAGATATATTGTGTGAAATTAATGAAAGAAAATGAATTAAATATTTGAAAGTATTTAGATCGTAGTTGCATACGCAAGGATTATTTGATGAATCCACTCCGAGTTGAAATACGTTCAAATTGTTTAGTATGTGTGGTGGAAGTGTTGTCAGGGCATTTCCACGAAGGTCCACAACCTATTTGGAAATAAATCATTCAAAATTAATTCATTCGAAATTAATCAAGTTTAGAATGGAATCTGAATTGGTGCATTGCCAACAATAACTGTTTAGTGTAGTGAACATTTCTAAAGAAATGAGAACAATACAACTGTTTAAAATTTCAATATTGTTGTAAGCTTTTTGAGAATTGTACTGCATTTAGCTCGCTCTCATTGTAAAATACTTTTATCTGTATGACTAGGAGTGTCACATGGCTCCTATCATTCAGTGACTCTTAAGTTATACCCTTGGGTGCAGCAGAGGTTTCTCTTAGTGAAATGATGTAAAAAAATCTCAGTCAGGAGCACACCTTATGCCTCATCATGGCTCTGTGCTCTCTAGAAATGGCCTCTGCGGCCATGTTTCCTCTGAAGCTGCTGCAGTTCTTTCCTGCCTCGACCGAGCTGAAGGTGGTAAGGATCTGTGGTATCATTTTAGGGGGTGTAGGGGTATCATCTTTGTGCTTCTCTGTGCACACAAAACTATATATTTTTAATTGTAAAATCGGAACAAATGATCTCATTAGTATTTTAATCCCCTTCAGTAGGTGTCAGAGGAGTATAATGCTTTAATACGTAATGAGAAAATTAGATGATGCATATATGTGTGTATATTATGTATGCATATAACATATACATACACTGAAACAACTAATGAACAACTTATACTTGGATGAAGAATGAAAGATGGGTAACTAAAAATGTGTATTTGATTAAAAGCACTTAAATGTATTCCTAAATGTAATGCTTTTCTGCTTGAGTCCCTCTTTCAACTCGCAGAAAACTGATAGTCTGCCCTAGACACCCTCCATATGGACTTCCATGTATTTCTGTATGTATCCTGTTCTTCTCTCCCTACGGAAGACATTAAAAGGTCTGTGCTGCACAGTGCAGCGTGGTGTACAGACGTGAAGGCAATTGGGGAACAACAATAGTTTGGCTGTGGTGGCACCAGCGGCTCCTTTGGGAGTTTATCTGTCTTGCCAGAAAGCAGTTTGCAAGGTAAATGCATCTTTGTTGGCAAAACCTAGCAGGAAAAGTAACGCTGATGTGCATGTGTTAAATGGTAGAAAGTGGCGTCTGGCCCTTAAGATGGGTGCATGGATAAACAGATCAACGTTGAGACCTTTGCTAAAACATATGTTCTGCACAAGGTAAAGTTATAGATAAAATTAAGTTCCATCCCATAGTTGATCCATAGCCAGTAAACATCAATTTTGAAGATTGTGCCATAAATGAATATTTTTATTTTAAGGATGTGTTCTGTATAGGTAAAAGAGTGTGTATGTGTTAAAAGCAAATGTATGTTCTATGCAAATAATGGTTATTTTCATCACTGGCTTTAATTAATATGTTAGTGTACAACTATAAAAAAGACTAATGTTTTTGCTGAATAGTTCATAACTAATATCATGAACAAGGATTAACATAAAACATGTAAAAAAAAAAAATAGTACAATTGTTTCTAACCTGTAAATCGTTCAGATCCTTGAAAGCTTCTGGATGAATTTTAGTTATCTTGTTGTCTTGTAAGTAGATATTCTTCAGTTGTGAACAGTTTTGAAAATCATTCACATCAATTTGTAGTATGTCATTGGATGACAAGTGGACAGTTTGTAAAGACTGCAACAGTCCTAGTCCTGAGGAAAACAAAATTGTTTTACACTATATACTCTTGTGTTTTTTTATGCATCAAGCAGCTTTTAAAAACCTCTTTGGCACAGTATTTATTCTGTTATTGTCTATTGCAACCTGTGGCTGCAGGCTTTGATTCATTTCTACTTAATGCTGTTAACCCATTTTAAAAGCTGTATCAGCTGTTGCATCAGCAACAGGCACTTTAATATATTTACAAATCAATGCTTGCTTTCTACAATTCACATATCCATGAAAGCAGAAACATGGCCATGGCCTCTATACCTCAAACATGACTCTTTGGAGAAACAGAGATATGAAAGGAGGAATGTGGAAAAGGACAGAATATACCCCGTTTTTAAAATCATAACATGTTAATAGTAAAAGGGAGAGAAGCAAAAACTATTAAACTTTCTGCCATTCTTTGCCATCTTCATGTGTGTTTTTTGTATGTGGAATTACTTGAACCATATTCATACAATGTAAAGCTGACTGAGAGCTACAAGGTGTTTGTGTTGATTATGGCTGCGTGCCTGTGAAATATGACGAGTGTCAGCTAATTCCCAGCACTTCCTGGTAGTGACAGCATTTGTCTTGCATATATGGCTGCTCTGAAAGCTAGGAGTAACTCGTGTTTCTAAGACCCTGTGCAGGGAGCCTTTATAGTTCTAGTTTGCAAATTCCAGTTTGAAGGTTGGCACCCGAATTTTTGGCATCACCACAGTTTTGTAATATCTCTGTCTCTTGTTCTCCTTACATTTTTTTGCCCTTGGGTTTACAAGAAATCTTGAATTGCAGTTTGCTGAGTAACTCTCTGGGCTGTCTGCATAAAGCTGACAGGGTAATTCATTGCTACTGTAACGTTAGAGGCAGGGGGTCTGAAAGGCACTCCGAAGCTCTGGGAGTTCACAGAATTCCAGAATGGTTGAGGTTGGAAGGGACCCCTAGAGACCATCTAGTCCAACCCCCCTGCTCCAGCAGGAACACCCAGAGCACGTGGCACAGGGTGGCATCCAGGCGGGTTTGGAAGATCTCCAGAGAAGGAGACTCCACAACCTCTCTGGGCAGCCTGTTCCAGGGCTCTGTTACCCTCACAGTAAAGAAGTTCTTCCTCCTATGGAGGTGGAACTTCCTGTGTTTCAGCTTGTCCCCATCCCCTGTTGTCCTGTCACTAGCCACCACCGAGAAGAGTTTGGCCCCATCCTCCCTACAATCACCCCCCAGGTACTTGAATATGTTGATCAAATCTCTTCTCGTCTTCTCTTCTCCGGGCTAAACAGGCCCAGCTGGCTTAGTCTTTCCTCATACAATAGATGCTCCAGGCCCTTAATCATGTAGGGTCGCTCTGTGCTCCCTTGCTGCTTCATGAAGGTTGCCTGCTTGAAGCTACTTTTGTGCCAAAGTGTCACCTCAGTGTGTGGCACCGATAGATTGCAGCCAGGTCTGTCCGGAGGGTTGCTTTGTGGTCAAAACCCCAGCTTCAGAATTTATGCTCAACTTTCTTGCCATGTCTCCTATGCTAGAGCTTAAAAAACAGAAGGCTGATGAAGTGTTTTGGAGTATGAAAATAAGTTCTGGACACCTATTTAAACAGGAGATGACAACCTGCGAGTATAGTGAAATGGAGTGTAGCAATTTGATTTGCTTATAACATCTAGGAATTATTGGAATCATCTACAGTCAAGTGTAATCTTTCTGATCCAGTATGACATCCTCTATGTCCTATATACATTGTTATATAGCCAAACAATCAACTTCTCCTCAGTATATTTTATAAGCAGTTTCTGTGCTTTCCACAAGGAACCTTATAGATACATGCATGTACACTTAGCAAAATATGAAGAAGAGCTTACTGCATACCACAGAATTATTTGGTATCAGAAAGGGGTAATAATGGACATTCTAGAACTGTGGGCAGTTTCAGTTTTCTTTGAGATAAGTCTTTCTTTTCTGCCTGATATTTATTGAGATTAAGGCCAAAGAATATGATGATATCAGAGGTCAGTAAAATTCAACAAATATGTGTGTGTTGCTCATACTACAGCTTTTGCTTTATTTGAGTACTTTTTGAATCATGTGAGTTATCTGTTTCTGAGGACACAGGCTGCAATATGCTCAGTCTAATTCAGGACCAGGAAATATTTCCTAAAAGTTTATGGAAGAAAGTTTATTAAAAGACTAAATTCTCTCTCATCAATAGGTGTCATTTAAGGTGTGCTCTCTGAAAACACTTAACAAAGAGATGGCAGGATTTTTTTTTGTTTTTTTTTTGAAAAAATGTTTTGCTGCCCTTGCGAAATACTGAAGTGTGAGCAACTTACTTAAGAGTATTAACTTTCTTCTGAAAGTAACAGTATGAAATCCTTTATCAATCATTTTCTTAATTATAGAGACTTGGAAGCTGGTGTTTTAATTCTATATATTTTTACTTCTCTTCCTATGAATCAAGGAAAAAATACTTCCTTGCTGCTCAGAGGTTGATTTTGTTATTGTTTGACTGGCTCTAAGGCATTATAATTACAAAGATTACACACAGACCTTTTTTTTTTTTTTTAATATACTTGCACTCAGGTGAAACTTTCCCTCACCATGAACATAACTAAATGAGGTGGTTCTGCTCTGAAGTAAGGTATATGCAGTTGTATCTAAAATCCACTTCTCAGGTGGTGTGTTTAAGGGTTTGAAATACTTACCCTGAGGAATCCTGTTGAGGCTGTTTCTTTCAACCGCCAGTACTTTCAAAGCGGGCAGGAGCCGAGAGGCTTCTCCGTCCCCGTGGGCTGTGTGCGCCGGCGGGCCCAGGGTGAGGGTGCTGAGCGCGTTGCCGTTGAGGTTGAGAGTTTCTAAAGAGGGCAGATTTCTGAAAGTGGTCGCAAAGGAGAGTTCAGAAATGAGGTTGTTGCTGAGGTTCAGGTGTTTCAGCATCCATTCTGGGTTTCCGCCTGTAGCGCGCAGCAGTGTCGTAATGTTGTTGTAACTTAAATCCGCTGTTAGCACTGTTGGTGTTATGTCCTCTGGAATAGCAGATATTCCAGTAAATGAGCAATTCACTATGAAGTTCCCATCCCACCAGCAGTCTGAATGATGAGAACTATTGGAAGGGCTCAGATGTGAATTGGTTTCCAAAGATCCAGGAAGAATAAAGTAAAGGAGCGCAGCTATGACACTCGGGTGAAGAATATCCATCATGTCTCTATGTAGATGTGAAATTAGGGTAAGTTCAACGTAACTACAATCAAGTAGAAAGCAGAAATACTGTTAACATTGAAAAACAAGCCAACACCCAAACCACTGCCCATTTGCTTCCTTAAACACACACTTTTGGAATTTTAGCTATTTTTTCAGAAAGCTTATTCAGAAATACCCTCCACCCTCCGCTTCTCCCCAAACCAATCCTCACTTTCTTACTCTTTCCTGTCCTTACCATGAGGAACGCTGCGCCGCAGAACTCGAGAACTGAAAGTATGGGAGATTTTTGAAACTAACCTGTGCTATCATACACTACTATCACTGAGCAAAGTCCTCCGGTTATAACGTGTGACAAAGAGCTGTGGAATGGTGGTTCTCATAGTTAATAACCGTCTTCACCAGCAATAACACAACACCGGGCCTTAATGAGATTAGATTCTTGAAAAAAACACTTCTCAACACAGTCATGTTTTAGGATTTATTGTTCCATTTCAAAACAAAGATGAGAAATTCAGTTGTGTTTTTTATTTATCAAAACAAGCCTTTACAAATGCAGAGAGTTCTTCACATGTAACTTATTTTAAAGTACTCAGTGCTGTACTTTATCCAGGCATGTAGTCTGTACTTTACATACATCTAGACTCTCAAGTGCATTTGCAGGATCAAAATGTGTCACACAGTGCCGTAAATGAGTACAAGGGAAAAAAAAAAAAAGCACAACAGGCATGTGTGGCATCAGCATTTCTCAATCTGTAGTGAAAACAACAATATGTTAATAATAAGTGAATAACAGCCAACAAATTGATAACTTGTTTCAACTGGTGTCTGTATGATTGGGTTTGCTATTTTTTGACTAGAAATCCACACTTAAACAATTCTCCAAACATATTTCTCAAACTATAAACTAAAAGTAGCTTTGTGACAATTTTTCTGCCGTATTGCACGTAGTATTTTAATAGGAGTTCAGAAAATTAAAGAATCCAGCAGTAGCACACAGACATACCAGTATTAGCCAGACAAGAGCTATATGTAGTCTACTTGATCGAGGAAATATTTTTTATTTACCAAGGTCTATTTCAGCTTTGAGGGTTCTGCCGATGCTACTATTAGTAAGAGAACAAAAGTTCTAAAAATGTTATGGTTTGTTTCTTCTGCTTGGTTCTAACAAATACCATTTAGGGCACTGGTCAGAGCAGCAGAGATGTATGCATGATTAATACTAAGTGCAGTAAAACTACACATGCAGTGTGCAAAATGTGAGCACTTTTAACTGCTTACAGTGACTTTTGTTACATTCTATTCTATTTTTGTTCAAAATAACCTTGGCCCCCAACTGAGCATCGAATCTTTGTGCTGTGCCTTCATGCAACTTTAATTACAGCCTTCCCTCATGGGACCCCTGACTTTCTGTGGGGTGTAAGGCCTGACCTACAGATCCCCCCTCTAAAATCACTTCCACCTTTTTACCAAAGGCAGGAATTCAGACCTTAAATAGGTAGCCCTCTGCAGCAGGGACTGACTTGTCCTCTGTGGAACTCTGCCTGCTTTGAGCTATAAAACGAGACTAGATTGTAATTTGTGTCATAACAAGTGAAAAATTCAATTACAAAGTTAATATGTAACCTTTGCACAACTTCTGGGAAGCAAAGTAGTTGCTTATCTAGAAAAACTTGTCAAGTGCTTCTCGTGTCACCTTTGTGGCCTCCACTAAGGTTACTTCATGCTAGTGCAAAACAAACAAAAAATCCACACACAAAACTGGAAAACAAATAATAAAAAAACACACAAAAATACAACCCCCCCATGGGGGGAAGGGTGTAATCGTACAATGCACTGTTGTGTTTTTAGTACAGAACACCTCATCTCCAAAGTATTTATAGGCTATGATAGTTTCTGTAAGATCTTAGTACATCATGCACAAAGTTTCCCTTTTGATAAATTCAGATACATGTTAACCATGTTGTTGTGGGCTCCTATGTCCTTACATTTAGATTTAGACCTGCACTTTTATTTAATTCAGAATGTAATTCCGAGTTGCTCAGTAATGCAGTGGTACCAATATTCATGGGGAAAAAAAACCAACAAACAAAAAAAACCCACACACCTCAACTGCTGCTGCTTTTAGCCATGCTGTGCAATAGCTTATCAGCTGTAAAATAATGAATTAATATATTTGCATTAAAGCACCCAGGAAAACTCTTCCTTCTACGTAGTAAGCAAAATCAGTACATTTTTTAAAATGTACTTTTAATATAAATACACTTCATAAATACTTCACATATATCAAGCAAGTGTAGAATACTTGAACTGCCCAGATATAATAGAACTTGAGAAACATGTAATTTGTTTCCCCTCTTACCAGCTAGAATATTTCCAAATGAAAAATTATTTTCATACTGTACCTTACTTTGCAAATATTATTCACAGGTTTTTTTTTTTTAGCTTCTTGAGAGTCCAAGGCTGAAGGAAAGCAATATTTAAAAGATAATGTGCCATTGTCTGTCTTCTAGTACACAGCTAGTGTGCTAGAAACTAGTATACACAGTGGTAGGCCACTTAATTTGGAGAGAAATCTCTGCATCAACCTTGGCAAGAGAGAACAGAGGACACAAAGTTTGCCGCTTCAAAGGATGCACTGGCATTTCCTGCCGAAGCACCTCAAATTGGAATTTTTGGAAGTAAGAGGCAAGATTAAAAAATAAAAAGTGTTAGAGACAACTGAAGGCAGTCAGTATCATTTCTAAGATCAAGTTGCCTTTAAACACATTTTGCTGGTCCCAATTCAGGCAGGTACTTCAGTGTGCATGTACATTGGAACATGCTTCAGCACCTTACTAAACCAGAACAAGGACAAATCTGATGATGGAAGCAATACTGCTGAGGACAACCTGCGTTTAAAAAAAATACCATGGGATCAACGTTAGCATAAACTGCTGCAAAAACAGAGCTGCTTGGAGGCACGCAGCCACCGGAGCAGCGGGAGAGCTCTGCGGCGGCGCCGTGTCCTTCAGCGGGACAATCCGCAGGGATTGGCCGCCGTCTGGCAGCCCATGTTGTGCCCCGTCACTTGCACCTTGAAGAGGGTCCCGTCCGCGCACATGCAGAGCTTGAAGCGCAGCCAGTTGCCGTTCCCGAACTGCTCCCCGTAGGAAGAGCTCGGCAGCCGCGCCGGGCTCACCATCACCGTCCCGTTCAGGATGATGCTGCTCTCCTGGTGAGAGGGGACAAAAAAAGGCCATGCATGTCACCAAGGCAGCCTCGTTCTGAAAAGGACGAGTTCAACCAATAAAGCACATCGCTGGAAGGCTGTAGGACTCAAATGAATACTGTCTGTGAAACTCTGTACTGGAAGGTGTTGTTTTTAAATTCAGTTTGTGACTAACATCCACCACTTCCTCAACTGTAACCAGGAAAGGACTTTGCTATTCCAGAATATTCTACTCTATTGAGACAGACAATCATAGTACGATACACAGTGATTCAGTTTAGGGAGCCATCAGCCAACACAGTAAATCTAAAAATGAATGCCTGAAATGGAAATCAGGATGTGAACTGCTTCCAGAGGCACACGCATTTATTTCTCCCCTGCCCTCCCCTCCCCTCCAATGCTCTTCCTCACTTCCAATGCTGCAGGATCTTCACCTTGCCGAAAGCCCAAGCGAGGGCTGGCGAGGCGCCCTGGGGCAGCCCCTGCAGGGCCGGAGCCTTCCCGGGCGCCCTGCTCCGCGGCCAGGAGCAGCTCTGCCTTCGTTTGGAGCTAAGCTGCTCAAGGGCTGAGCTGACACTTACTGCTTTGAGCTCCATGTTGCCTCCCATGCGGAACTCAATGGTCTTGCCTGTAATGAAAACCCCTTCGTTTCCACGGACTATAGCACGTCCATCAACCTTTATGTTTAGATCGCTGGTTGCATTGCTGGTAATCTAAGAACATTAAAAACAAAACAAAGGGAGTATTGTAGATCGCTGAAAAAGTACCACTTGGATTTGTTCAAATATCTATCACCTGAAAAATATTGTTTAATAATAATAATAATAAATCAATGTACTTTGCACCCTTCTCCCACTATGCCTGAAAAGCTTCCACTGTTTGTTATTTTCTGCACTTAGATATAGAAAAAAAGGATTACCCAAGTTCGGAAATATATAAAATAGCTTATTGCTTGCATATCATTTGACTGCAATAAAAACATCAACAATTTCCATGGAAGAATTATATGACATATATAACTAACCCTGGTAGCAAATGCAGCTTCCTAATCTGACTGGTTACTGCTTGACCCTCTGTAAATCTGCTAAAACTACTAACATGATATAGCAGAACTGGGGACTGTCAACGCTCTGAAGGCCTTTGCTATGAGCGATGCTAGGAAATAAATGACTTTTAGTCTAACATGAACACTTCTAATGCAACCACATTGATGTTTAGGCTTTTGGGTATTCTGATAAGAACATGTTTAACTTGGAAGCCTTAAGTTAATGGAACTTCTACAATGCTATGGATGTTCTCTACACTTTTCCTCAGACTTCTAAAAATCTGACTGTAATAACATTTATCCAAAATGATGCATGAAATTCTATTAGTTATTTTTGTAGTTAGAAATGTAGTAATTAGAAACAGAAAGCTTCTTGGAGATACTCTGTTTTTGAAAGTTATCTGTGCACAGATTCATAAACGCTTAATGAAAACTTTCTAAAACATTTTTCTAATCCTGATAAAGGAGTGAGTATGGCATTTTTGATATTACACTCATTTTATAATATCACTTTCAATTTATACTGTACTTTTAAAGATGACCTAGATTTTCAAAGCTGCATTTTTAGCCCTACTAATCAAATTTCTAAACATGCTGGAAAGATTAGATTACAATAAAACTTACTCTATTATGAAGAAAAATGTGTAATTAACTCTTGCAAAGAGTAAGTAATATTAAAAAAAAAGTATACCCTCTCTGTAGAAGCCTTTTGTACATTCAAGATTTTTACTCCATTTGGCAGATGAAATTCATGCGTTTCATAGTCTGTGCTGAACAAGGTGTTTTGTGTCCGTGGGTCAACAAACTCCATGCCAATGTCACTGGTAATAGAAGTTTTGTCCTTCTCCACACTGAGCTTTGTTGTTCCTTGCTGAAACACAATCTTCAGAAACAAAGTCTTAAGTTAATGGTGTTTCAAAGGTAACATATATTCATAATGTGAGCATAATTCCATACTGTGGCTCAGAAACTTTCACTTCATGATATAACTTACAGGCTGGTTATTCCCTGTAATCACCAAGTCTTCGTTACGTCTGCCTCCTACGGTGCTTTTATAGAGTGGGTGTATAACGCCCATGTCAGAAACCTGCTTAAACCTCAGCAAGCCACTCTCGTGGAACTCCATGCTGTCACAGCCGTTGGGACCAATGCGAATCACAGCCCAGATAACAAGCGTAATCTGAAAGAGAAACACACTTTATTTAATGCTTAATGCTTATGTTGACCATTCAGGTCTTCCTGTACAGAGTACTGTACTAATGGATACTAAATTTAAAATAATAACTAATGTTCATGTTTGAGTTTTATGGGTAATTTAACATGTCAAATTCCTACTAGAAACATGAACATACACTTAACTATAAAATGCATTTTGTCTGACTTCTCTCATCTGAAATGATACTCTGCGTGTGTAACATATGCATACATATGTTTGAAATTAAATCATATCCACATTTAAATCTTTTTTTATTTCCTCTTTAAGGGTAACCATGGTATCATAAGCTAAGCAGTTCTGTAGAACACAGTATTGCAACTCAAAACATACTTATTTATCCCTGAACTTATTTATCCCTGTTTCTTATAAGAAAACAGCTTCTGATGCAGATGCCTAGTTATGGAAAATAATTCATGACTTCATTGTCCGCCCAGTAGCCAGGTGGTTCAGTGAACAGCAGTAATGAGCAAGAGGAGAGGTTGAAACCACAGTGGCTGTTTCACTGTGAGCGATCCTGTGCACTGCCTGTACTGTGTTCCTGCGAAACAGCTATCCTGAACGCACTTGCAGTGAGCAAAGAGCACCTCACACGCTTGCTGGAAAGTCTGGAGAACAGAGAGAGGCTTTCAGGGCTCCTGCTGCTGGGCTGGGTAACAGGTAGGTCCCAGGACACTGGAAAGGTGATGTCTAAACCATCTAAACAAGATTTTCCTGTCTAATCTTGTTCAGATTACAAAAAAAAAAAGGCAAGAGGGAACAAAAATGAGAAGACTCCAGTACATTTTAAGTGCTTTGCAGCCACACTGCAGTAAATTTTCTCTCTCTAATAAGCAATCAGAACGAAATTCATTCCAAAGCTGCTTACAGCCTCGGCATTATACTCACGATCAAATTGATGACAGCCAAAATGAAAAGCAGGACGATCACGCAAATGGCCAAGTTGCCTTTCCTGCCACGCAGGCCTGTCTTATGGAGGCGATCTTCATCGATGGGAATGTACCCTGCTTTAAAGTTACTGTTGTGCTCCTTGTTCACATTCCGGCGTTCCACGGCCTTCTCACGCATTGACTTCTTCACAGGGCCATTGGAGCTCTGCTGCAATTTGAAACAGGGGCGTGGGGAAAAGAAGAAAAATCAACACAGCAAACTGATTAGTGGAGCACACAAAATATTATATTCAATACTGTGTTTTGATCTGCCACTCAGTATTTAACCATTTATGCAATGTGCATTAATGAAATCTATGTGCAATCTCCGCTAAGACTACTGCTAATATTAGAATCCAGACATTTGTTTACAACTGATACATGTTTTTATGACTCTTTTTGCCTCGGCTGTGAAGTACTGCAGTTAAGTAATAAGGATTCAGCTGTGAAAGCACATCAAGTTTTTACCTCTTGGGGGTGATACAGGCCACAATTTACCACAAGATTTCAGCTCCCTCTGCACTAGTGCAGTGGTCTCAGAGTTTATGCAGACGTTTCAGGAGCGTGGTGAGAGGGGAGTGGGAGCTATCAGCTTGCTTTGACAGCCCACAGTTTACAGCCAACCTCTCTTACTTGCACACAACATGAAGGAGAAACACTGTAAGGCCTCAAGCTGCCACGGAGGAAAGTTGGCAGCAGAGACCTTCAAGTCTTGAAGTAACTAGATTGCCAAGTGTATCCTGTCAATTTGACCAAGGCAGGGGAAAACCCCACAGGTACTCACAGAGCGAGAGATTTGGATGCATTTTCACAACTTTGAACAAAACTTTGTTCCACCTTTCTCAACCGTTGGGGCTACTATTTCAGGTTCCTGTTCTTCAAGCAAGAGGTTGGTCTGTTTGACGGCGTTAGATTTGCTGCTCCGGAACGAGCGCAGCCTGCACAGCCCGCACACCGATGTCCCCGCTGTCCCCACGGCTGACAAGCAGCCGCCCTGGCCAGGCAGGGTGACGCACGGGGCAGCTATTTATACCCTGTGCGGCCGCGGCCCGGCGGCTCCGCTCGGCTAGTGGCACCCGGCCTCGGAGACACACACGCACGCACTTGTTCCCTTTGGGGCGGGAGGCG